TCATGCATATTGGCCTTACTACCACTAAGAATCCCATCTACATAATTGTTTATCTATACACCTAAATAACCGCCTAGCTAGTTGGCTAGTCACCAACCAGCCGACTCACCAGCATATTGCCCATCCTTACACGCATGTGTCTATCCAAATAAATAATGATGCTAAGACCAATCTGCCCTCCAACAATACTTACTAATCTTTCAATCTAGTGAATAGCTAGCCTACTCCAGACACACTCTCTTACACAATTGCATGATTAGTTGCCTACTTGTTTATCAATCCACTTACCCATCTGCCTACCATTCATACAAATCTACACAAATGCCCAACTTCCAACCTCGTGTCATATCCGCCCTCCAACAGTTCTTGCCTTCTCTATAGTTAATTATCTATCTTCCTCTGTTTTTATGCATACTTGTTCAAATGTATGTCCATTTGTATAACTATCTTCTTGCAATCACACATAATCTGATAATATATCTTCAATATATCCTTACATTATATGCGACCATCTATCTATCCACCCAATCCCTTACAACAAGACTTATCAACCTTTCAAACTAGTGAATAAATAGCCCACTTCAGAAACGCCCTCTTACCAACTTATAATCGTGTCTATAAAAAAACACACATACCCATTAGTCTGTCTAACCAGTCGACTAGCTACATTATTTCGCATCCATCCTCCAACTGATCTATCTATCTACCTACTCTTTTGGCCTAATGAATAGCTAGCCTGCCTCAGATACACCCTCTAGCAGACTTATAATCTTGGCATACAACTTTAGCAACAACTCGATTACAACTTACAGAATTGCCCACCTTCCAATCTCTGCGACTAGCCATTTAATTAGTTACAATTTCATTCTATCACCAGACCGGTTGCCTACTCGAGAATGTATGTGTTTGTCCATCCAATCATACTCCCGACTACCCTCGATTCAGCATACTCAAAAGCCTGCATGCACTGAGCCACCTTTCTACTCAATCACACGCCAAAGTCTACTTTTCCTCAAATTATTCCACATTACTCCACCCTATTTCTCCCATCTGCCCACCAATCGAAACACACCTGTCTATCTATCCATCTCCTTTCTAGCATACTCCATGTGTAAGTACTCATTTTACATTTGAGCACTTAATCTCTCATTCACACTTTTCACTATCACTCTTTCTCTCTGCCCACGCAATCCTCGCTGTGCATCGCTGCGCACGTGACCTTAACTTTGAGCTCATCTGCCTCTTTCACATGCCAGTCAGGCTGCACACACTCGACCGAGGGCACTCGTGAACGTGCGCAAATGTGCATTTTGTTGTGTCCAGCCGAGATCAGCGCCTCGAGCGTTGTGTCAGATCACCCAACGGAGTTGTGTGAGGTGGGGTTGAGCACAGCCGATGCGGCTGCCGTACGATCCGCATTTGCAGCCGTTTTGGCCGACGGTTGGCGTGGCTCCTGCGCAATGAGAGCGCGTTTGGACAACCATTTTCGCCAAACTGTGCTGTTCTGGGCTGGTTTGATCATTTTTGCCAGCCAACACACATCTCCTACTCATCAACTAACGTTGTGGACTTTGTGCTCAACAATTGCAAAGTAGGCCAAGGATGACAATCAATTGGCAAGACGGCAACAGGCCTGTGTTTTGACGGTCTGCAAAGCTGAACAATTGACACTTTTCATGACTTCAACCCTTTCTGCTGTTGCGGTGACAACCGAAAATGTGTAGACTGGAGAAGCGATAGTGTCTGTACCGTCCGAAATGACAGGATTGCCGGTCACTGTCGCTCGTCGGAAGAGCTGATATGCCAATTGATTTGGGGAACCTGGTACAGCAACACTGTCGCCATTGCGAGGAGAGGTACAGACTTTTTTGGTCCTCTTCGGCATCAGCACTACCCCAACGAGACTTAGACACCCCTCCTGTGGTAGATTTTGCAATAAACTCACATGGTCCCAAGTCATCTGGCCTATGCCAGATGGAAATGGTGCATTCCCAGACATAAACGTCTGGGCCGGTAACAAGTCATAGCTACTATGACGGAGAAGTGTGAACTAGGTCGCCCTGGCAACACGACAAGGTTCTTTTGGGACCCAGCAACTTGGAGGCCCAAAGAATAGACTGAGTTCAACGTCAGAGTTGTTGGAACGATATGGTGCAAGTTGAAAAGCCGAATAGTTGTTTAGCCCCGGCTGTATTGCATATGAAATCATGTTTCACATAGAAACCAATTATTGTCAGGACATTGGGTTCTTTAAAATGACGAATTTGCACCTGAATTCGGATGAGCTGGGCCTAGAGCATGAAGTTTGATCTTCATATTTTAAATGATGCAGAGGCTGTTTGTAGTTTCTACACATTTTTGGTTGTCACCCAACTCCTGGCCTAACCTCAAAAGTGTAGAGTGTTGAAGTGAATTTCCGGATGATTGTGAGACTTGTCTCGACTGAGGCCCCCTCAAATTTTCGCTTTCCAATCCGTCAAAACACAATCTTGTTTCTGTCTTGCCAATTGATTAACGTGGCGGCCTACTTTTGTAATTGAGCGCAAAGTCCAGAATGGCGGTACATTTGCAAAATCGCGAAGTATCAATAAAATATCGTGACCAAACTGGCTGTCAGTTTTTTACGTATAGAGACTGGCTTCAACCAAAGTATGGTTGCAAATAATCCTTCCAAATGCGGCAAATGATTTTCACTTAACTTTTCACTTCGAAGAAAAGGTCGGTTGGACGGAATTCATGAATTCGCTTGCTCACGGTTCTGGAGTCCCGATCTTTGCTGCACACTTATTTTATTTTTCGCATTTAAGTATTGTTTCGAGCCTACCAGTAAATCAGTAGTATGAGGTGTAGAAGCAAAATTTTCCCACAATGATATGAGTTGAGAAATGGAAACGTCAGCCACTGCAGTCCAAGATGAGAAATGAAGATACATTTCATTTACCGCAAAAGAACCACCTCAAATTGACCATGTAAAGCTCAACGTCTGTATTTTTCGAATTAAGTATTGTTTCCCGTACTACCAGTAAATCAGTAGTATGAGATGTATTCATCCAATTTCGATTAAGGTGATAAAGGACTGGTATAAGAAGAATTTACCCACAATGACATGAGTTGAGCTGACGTTTCCATTTCTCAACTCATATCATTGTGGGAAAATTCTTCTTCTACCAGTCCTTCATCAGCTTAAACGAATTTGGGTGAATACATCTCATACTACTGATTTACTGATAGTCACGAAAACAATACTTAATTCGAAAAATACAGACGTTGAGCTTTACATGGTCAATTTGAGGTGGTTCTTTTGCGTTAAATGAAATGTATCTTCATTGCTCATCTTGGACTGTAGTGGCTGAAGTTTCCATTTCTCAACTCATATCATTGTGGGAAAATTCTTCTTCTATCAGTACTTCATCACCTTAACCGAAATTGGGTGAATACATATCATACACTTATTATACGTTGACGTTTTTTTCTATCTTTTTTGATAGTATTGCTTGTATACATTTCCCATATTTTACCCTTTGCATGGATTTCCACCTTTTCACTTAGTCTTGCGTACACGAAATCAGTCACCCGAGCTCGCTTACGTCGATGTAAGCACGGATAGGCGTATTTTCCCATAAACATTTGCTATTGAAGTTAACCTTGTACACGTTTTTCTCATCCTGACCGGAGCACAGGTTCGAGCTCGCCTTATCGCTTCATCAGCCATCCGAGAGGATTTGCAACGGTGTAGTGAGCGTAACATGGCGACACATTGCCGCTTTTTCACACAGCCGCGGGTGGGCGCCAGTGGGTCATAGGGCAGATGTGACCTTCAACGCATTCTGTGCCTCCCACAAATTACAATTGTAATTAATCAAGTTAATTATATCCATTGCCCCTTTAAGCTTTCTATGCAATAAGTAATAACAGCTTCTAAGCATGTTAATCATTATTCTTTTGCTGCTCTACCACTAAACTTTTATGCCTTTCCTCTAATTCATCATATAACATCCGCTATTACTTTATGTGTACATTTAAACTTTTAGTACTTTTACTCTTTATTTCTATCATTCTCTTGCTTTCTTCTCAGGTTCTACACTCAATTTTCTTCATATAGATGTGCTTAATAGAAGAATTTCCACCGCTATTCATGGGTGCTTTGAGTATAAATCACGAGTTTATGTAGAAGAGGGCAGATATATGTTCTCTACATTCCACGAATAATGATTAATTACTAAAGCATTTAACTATAACATAGTTAGGCCAAGCGCTTGAGGTTCTCATTAGTTCAGGAGGCTAGTTGGTGTTGGTAGAAATGTGAAAAAAAGCGAGTTTCGTTGAGCCTCCTGAGGATTTTCTTTTTGTTTAAAAATGCGGGATGAAGAGATTTGTGGGTTAATCTCACCAAAAGACACATTTTACTAAAGCTATTTGGTTTTTACACGACGTTGAGGTTGAGGCTGGCCAAAAGACATCATCCCCCGTTTCGGATGAATCTCTTCATCATTTCTTTTCATATGAGAAGAGAGTCTCGACCCAGGAGCCAATACTGGTACAGATTTTGATTTTCAAAAGGTATTTAGTCAACCGAGATCGCTTATGGTGATCTAAAGACTGGTGGTTGAGCTGTCCAGCAATGCACTGAGTAGGCCTTGAATCCAAGATGGACTCAATTTTCTACACCCTCTCAGTACCAATAGCCCTCCACCCTCGACACGACTTTATAGCAAATCCCATCGAGGATAATGACAAGACGGTGAGATAAGGTCAGATTTGATGTTGAAGTACCTTAAACATGAGATAAATACGTGGACCAAGGGTGCGCCGAGGACCTATTCGCCCAAATCTACAACCACAGCTCCAAGGCAACCCCTCCGCCACAACCTCCGGTGGAGCCAACTTACGAATCCCTTCCACTCGCCTCTTCAAACGAAATGAAAGATACTCCAACATCCCATAATTTTGTTGGCTACCTTAAACTGTTTTCGTATTAGAGTAGAGTTTCGAGACTACCATTAAATCAGTAATATGAGATGTATTCACCCAATTTCGTTTAAAGTGATGAAGCACTGGTAGAATAAATTTTTAACGATGATATGAGATGAGAACAACTTTTGGGAAAGCAAGGCT